TGCTATTTGAGACAAACAAAGGAGGGATGCAAAAAAACGAAGAAAAAGATTTTAATATGCTTCATATTCAATAACGAATCATTCAAAGTGCAATCAACAATGGAGCTTGTTATTTTCTCAAGTCAATAAAAATTAGCTGTTTGTATTGAAGAGAAACTACCGAATTTTATTCAAATAATCATCTGAAACAAAAAAAGAAAGATAACCATTTCCTTTTGTTACATTTAATCAGTTTTCTATTAATCATGATAATGCAAAGCTCTCTACATCGATGACCTAGATGAACGAAATTTTTCACATGGAGTAGGGTGGACTTTAATTTATACGGTGCGCCCAGCGAAAACTTAACATTTTTTCAAACGAAATCTGTGCTTATCCCTATTATTAGATATTCTCATACATGAAGCCATGTGCGTTCTGTGTAATTTGCATGAACTTTCATCAATATAGTTCCATTGTGTATGAATTGTTTTGAACATCTTTATAGGTGAATCACCAAATATTTCAATCAAAGATACTAACTGACTGATCTCAACTTTAGAGTTTTGGAAAATTCAACAAAACATTTAATTAATTGAAAACAATTCTGTTATATTTAGCATTCTATTCTAAATTCTAATCTAACAATTTTTAAACTTTTATGTATTTTGGAAAAACTTTCAACATACACTATTGCATTGAAATACCCGTAGCAAACAATTAATGCCATTAATTCGATCAAGACAAAAACAAAAAAAAGAACATGTCTTTTGTAAAAGAAAAATCAGTGTTCGAAACACGAACGAAAAAACAATGATTTATCATAAAAAACTAAAAGTATTTTTGACTCTTTCAGCCATTTCATTTTGGATATAGTAGTTTTTGCGTACACTGGGGGTGCGGGTTAGTGTGGGTGTGAATGGGTTTTGGTGTGTGTGGGTATTGCAGATATTTAGCATGGAACTAAATGTGACAATTTTTGATAGAAGTGTCAGCGTGAATGGAATTATGCTTTATTTGGCTTGCTCTTACCACCAATTGAATCATTCACACCCAGAAAACAAGCTCATATACACAACTTGGAGAGTGAAAGGAAAGAGAGGAAAATAGGTATAACATGGTGGATAACCATAAGAGAGGAGAAAATGAACAGGATAACTTAAAGATGTTTCGAAAACCTATTGATATTCTTACGCTGAGAAAAATATTGTGGAGAGGTGAAATGTCGCCTCTTAATTATATGATCGGTTAAAGAGTTCAATTCCTAGAAACTGCCCATGTCGTCAAAATCGCGCAAAAATCTTCGATTTTATCGCGATTTTTCACGGTTTTCTTTGCAATTCTTAAATGAAAGCGCGATTATTCAAATAATATTTTCAATGATCGAACCTAGTCAAAGCATTTGGACCTACGACTACGACTAGGTTTCGACCTATATACCATTGCCGCTTACCATCGTACGTATACATGTTTCTCGCGAATCGGAGTGTCGGCTTAGCATCATCATTAAATTAATACTAACAGCAATACCTTTATGTTACGATCATAAGAGAAAAGTATTGAAATTTGTATTGAATGCTGTCATGCTAACGCGAAATATCCCTGACTAATTTCAATTCTTTTATGTTTCAATTTTATTTCAAAAGCATTGTAACTACTATTGAATCAATGCAATATTGCATCAATTTAAAAGTAGCTACAATGCTTCTGCATTAAAAATATCACAAAACAGTATAGAAATTACTCAGAGATACGGCTTCGCTTTAGCGTTACATGTATTAATAGAAATTGTAACATTTTTCTCTTAGAAATCGTAACAAATGTTGCTCTTAGCATTAGTCTAATGCTCATGCTAAGTCGACACTCGTACTCGTGAATGAGACACTATCGTTCTACCCATTCTCAGTAAATAAAACAAAAAAATTAAATAAAATAATACCTATTATTCATTGAGACCATCGAACACCCTAAATAAAAACGAATATATTCGTATACAATGATACTTACCCTTTCATTTTGATGATTAGATGACCTCAAAAAAAAAGAATAAAAAATTATTTTATCGAATAATACTTATCGTTTATTGAAATGTTGCGATGGCCTACATAAAAGAAAAAACCTATTTATTTGTGTGAATCAATACTTACTGTTTATTAAGATGATCAGACGATCTAAATAAAGAAAAAAAATCTATTCTATTAAAATAACACTTAGCCTTCATTGAGATGACCTAAATAAAAGAACAATATTTATTTTTATTATTTAATATTTACCGCTCATTATGATTATCATACGATCTAAATAAAACAAAATAGTAATTTCTATCAAATAATACTTACTATGAATTGAGGTGTTCAGACAATTTAAATGAGAAAAAAAAATTGGATAAAATAATACTCACGCTTTATTGAGATGATTGAGCGGTCTAAGTAAAAGAAAAGAACACGTTCTTATTCAATGACACTTATCCATTCATTATGATGGCCACATGACCTCAATAAAAGAACACAATTATTTTTATAGAACAATACTTACCATTTATTGAGTTGTTGTAATAAACTAAAAAAAAAGAATATTTTTATAAATTTATGCTTACCGTTCATTAAGATATTCGGACGATTTAAATAAACGAAAAAACACTTATTTTTGTAAATTAGTACTTGTTGATGAAATTTGTTGCAGAATCGCCGATTAATTGGCGACTTTTGTCCTCAGATCGTGATTAATCGTCGATTTTTTCGGATATCGCGATTAATCGCCAAAAGAAACGCGATTTTGATGACATGAGTGATCACGTCATTGCGTAATAGCTCATAGGTGCTTTGTTAAGCTGCTGCTATTTGAATGTTGAATAATTTGAATGATAACTGATTGGTATCTTCACTAATACGCATGTTTTCTATTTCGAACATTTAGGTTGAAATATTCGTCAAGTTTGTATCGTGCGACAGATAGGTGTATCATGAATCGACACAGATTCAACTCCGAATACACATTGTTCCCAATTGAATCTAGTTTAACTAGATATGCGCTGTTTCATTCGACACGCTAGGTATCTCCTTATCAATTCTTTAATGCGGCAAAAAAATTGACTCAGACATAAGATGCAGATGTTCCAGATTGCATACTTTTACAAACTCTATTAACAAAATTTTATAATGCGTTCATCATTTTGAATTTTTTTTCATCGTCAACAGAAAACACTTTCTGCATGTTTACTCTAGAATTACTAATTTTTCACACGATAATTAGATAGTGGTAATATCCATTATTACTTTTGTTTCAACATTTCTAAAAAAAAGGTTCGTTACTTCTATTTAATGTTTACAGTCACTGGAACAACTGTCATTGTTTTACAGTCTTGCGCATTTATGAATGACCTCATTTCTATTGTGTGGTGATATCATAATTGAGTCTTGGACATTTGAATCCCAACAAAGCAGCACCTGATGTTTGAGCTGCATACCCTCTGAGCGTTACATATTTGAGTCTCTTGCAGATGGACATTATCGAAAAGGCAAAATTTACGTGTGAACTCATTTGAAACATTGGTAGCAAGTACCGATGAACTGAATTTTAGTTAGACCATAATGTTCTTAAGAGAGTAAGCATGAGAAAATCACATAACGGTTGCGAGGCTATAACATGACTTTTTGTAACATGTTTTTTTTTTATTTCATTTGATTCTATGTAGTAAAACTATGGGAATGAAAATTCTTTCAGACTTTTTAATACTCTATATTCAGAGAATTGTAGAAATTTCAACATAAGTACCCCTCAACACTGAAAAAAAATAAAACAATTTTCAATAAATTTGAATTTTTTGAAGCCAAATTACAATAGATGATGTTGAGCAATGTTCCATTTGAAAGAATCTGTAAAACTGCATCGATCAGTATATTTTACTTTTCTGAAGTGTTTGTTTTTTCTGGGAAAATGTTTAACTTTTTGAATTTTTTGTTAACAAACTTTTGAGTGTTTCCTTTTTTATGACTTTTTTTAAAGCAACAGAAAGTTTGACTAGTGGCTCCTGTAGACCATTCAATTCTGCACAAGATGAACTAACTTTGAAAGCTTCAAATGGGGAAAAACAGATCAAGAATTTTGAAACAAATTTGGCAGGTAGCGATAATCAAGAAGAAATGTTGCTTTCGCTAGTCTTCGTTTTACAAGATTTGTTTCAGACTTAAATTTGTATACTAATTAAAGTATCCCATTGAGTCTTTTTACGATCTCAAAACTTTGAAATTCTAGTGTTCGGTTTTTATGTATGGAGTTCCTTCCAAAGATCGAAAAAAAATTTGTCGTTAATTCAGATTTCTTATAGTCATTCAAATAGATCTTACTGCACTGATGACAATTATGATATTTGTTTCCAAATGTGGCGGAATAACAAGAAAAACAATAAGACCTCTCTCGTTCGAAGTCTTGTAGAGTTCCAGTACAATAATGAAAATTGATTCTAACTCGATCAATCCTTGAAATCGAGAACAAAAACAAACTTCTCTGAGCCAAATATTTTCACTAAGAGGTTTCGATTACTTTAACAATGAAAACAATGATTAAAAGGTGGGTCAGAACTTCCCATCGGATTCGTATAGTAATTTATTTTTTGTGAAACAATTGTTTGTAAATTTGTCTCTTGTAAGAAAAGATGCAGCAAAACACGCTCTACAAAATGGCTTTTGATTGATCTCACTGTTTCATTTAGTGAGAAAGTTATAGGCTTAGAAATATGCTTTACCAAAAACAAAAGTTAGTCGGAATTTTTAGAAATCATAAAGACGTTTCTTTAGTTAAAAACTGTTGCTTTACTGAAAAAACAGTTCCTTTATCTTGAATGTTATAATTAATATCTATTTAAATCAATGTTTATACACTTGATTTCCATTGACTTATATCACCTTTGCAAGACGTTTAGATATTTTGTCTATCATTGCTTTGCATTGCTCACGTGTAATTTTTTTCCATTCTGAGCTAACACAACGAACTAGTGAATCAAGATTTTGAAATATTTTTCCTCAGGTTTTTTCTCTGAGTATTTCCAAAATATTTTCAATGGACCATACATCTGCAAATTTGTCATCTTCACCACCTGGTTCAACTTTTTCTTCAAAAGAATCACCAATGACATCCATTGCAACTTGAGTTCTTTGTTTTGAATCTTGGTCATCTTGAAAAATGACCTTGTTCAAATCTTCAACCACTTTATTAATTGCAGGAATTGCTTCTTCATGTAAGAACTTAGCATACAATTCACCAATCATACACATTTTCTTACGTTGACCATCTTGACGTTGACTTTTTAACCATTTAGTAACATTGATGGAGTCATCATTTGGTATTAAACCGTTCGTACAAATCGCATCCCAAAGTATGACACCACTTGGATACTTTACCTTTTGTGTTTCTCTTAACTGAGCAGAAATTTCAGATGGATCTTCAGCATAAACTATGTCATTTTTACTATTTTGAAAGCCTTCAATTGTAAATATTTCTGAAAAATCAGGATTAACAATTTTACACCATTGCTGCTTCGGATCATTTTTTTCTTGCATCAAATTTGTGTATTAATTTTTTTACACATTTAATACGCCATTTTTTGTTTGCTGCCGTTAAGTTCGAAGCTGTTCGGAGTTTGAATGGTTTTAATTTTAATTTTTTAATTGCCATACGAACTGATGTTCTTCCATCTTCAATATTTTCATGCTGTAAATGAGAAACCACTTTTCGTTAACTTTGACCTTTTTTAAATGTATTAGTCTTTTTACCGCTTTTTTGAATTGTTCCGTTTTGATAGCTCTTGGTACACCACATCTTGGTCTCTCTTCTACAGTTCCTCTTTGTAAAATTCGGCGTATTTTCCTTCTTAATGCATCATGAGATAATGAAGGAGGATTTTGATAAGATTCTAATTCTTCAGGAGTGTTGCTTGTCATTCATGTGGGATTCATGTCCTTCAAAGAAAGCATGAGTCCACGAAACTGCTCTTCTACAATAAATGTGTTTGACATCTTGCTATACGACGTAAGAAATTGTGTAGATTATCGAATACTTTATCTCGACTGAACCTGATCTATTTACAGATCGGACTGACGGACGAATATATCAATAGAAAAACAGAGAGATATCATGAAAACAAAGGAATAATAATTACAAAGAACTGGAAAAGATAGTAGAACACACAAAGATAGAGAATATATAGAGTGAATACATACAGATCGAAAAATATATAGAATACCTAGAGAGAAGATGCACTGAGATCTGAGAGTGATGACGAATATAGTGATAGTATAATCTGACAGAAAGTGAAGATCATCACACATTTAAAATTAATTATATAATGACTTTAAAGTGATTATACAATGTTCTGAAAGCTCGTGGTTAATTTAATTTCTTTTTTTAAGCATATTTCTAAGCTTATAACTTTCGCACTAAATGAGACAATGAGACCAATCAAAAGCCATTTTGAAGCGCGTGTTTTGCTGCATCTTTTCTTACTAGAGACAAGTTTACAAACACGTGTTTCACAAAATAGTTTTATTATGCGAATCCAGTCAGGACTTCTGGCTCATTCTTTATATACCTTTCGAACTTTTGTGCAGATTTCAAATTGTACGAAAATCTATCTTCACTGGATAATAACACTATTCTCTCTTTTCTTTAATCTTCTAGTACCATGCAATATCATCATGTAATACAATTGTGCATGTAGACCAAGGGAACATAAGAAATTTGGAAGTACCGAGAGTCTACGAAATCTCTGTACCCAGAAAGGTTTAATAACACCATGAAGCCAAACAGAATTATATAATATCCCATGGAATCCCAGAATCATTATCGTTTGATGAAGAATGTGGATGGTATGGGTGCGGATGTGAATTTACTGTGTACCAAAATCCAGTCTCACATCAACATCCACATTCCGCGCATCCACACTCACACGTCTATACTATTCACAACGACAACAAAAGACCACTGATTTCTCTAAAACGTACATGTTTCGGAAAACGTGATTCATGATACATTGCAAAAAGGATTGTTCATTTTTCATAAAATTGAGATTCGATCTGCGCATCGTATTTCGTATTCAACTTTCACTCGAATACCATCTAGTTCCTTTTTATGATTGATAATTTTGGCGCTCCTTATTCTATGTTTCTTTTATGTATTAGTACTAGAGACAATTACAAAGACCAAAGAGTTGTATGATTGTCAATGTGTGAATTGTATAGTTGAATTACATGTGAATACTATAATCACAGAACATACGTCTCTATATTATTTATTATCGAAAGAGAATTCATTTTATCTATTAATACTAATTCTATGATATCAAATTAACAGAACATACAATGTATCGCACTTGTGGATGACAGTAATATCAAATATATCAATAGACAAACGAAATAGACTTTAATTTGTTATTATTTTCTCATCAGCAAATAAAAGTGCCTAGATTATGTCAATGTAGAAGTGAAATTTTCTTTTCGTACATGAGTTGTTTGATCTTATTTAGTTGGAAACTGTGAATTTGGTAATTATAAGTATTGATAGATTGAAAATTTTCTTTTCTTTATTTACTTATTATTTTTCATAGATAAAGGCATCAATTGTAGCTCGAAACGTCTTTGTAATAATTGCCGTTGTTCAGAATGCAAATGAAATGTTAGCAAAGAAAATTTTCCTTTTTAATTTTTCTTTGTGTTTATTATATAAATAATCAAATCAAACAAAATATAGAAAGTGTAGAATACATGTTTTGTTTGAAGGCGTTTATTCGAAATTATCCTATATGATGTCTAATGAACAGTTTATCTAAAAGATGTCAGTTAGATCATCATTGACGAATGATTTTAAATGTGTCGAAGTCAATGATTTGTCAAATTGAATATTTTCAGTTAGTATCCAATGAATCTGATATCTATACCTGTAAAAGTTGACATATAACGAGGAGAACAATATACAACCCATCATTTTTATAGTCTATTTTGAGATGTGAAGAAATACTTTGAAAATCTTCTTTGAATCTCATAACTAGAAAAAAGTTTTATGGAGAGGAGACCATCTGTGAATGCTTCTACAAGAGGCTTAAACTGCTTTCTAAACGGAACTCAAAGACTTCTGAGAAGAGCTGAGGAGAAAAGTTCTGCCACTGATTAATCGCATTTAAGTCGAAACTGCATGCATTATGTAGACCCAAACGAGCTATGAATATCTTGGAGAGAGTTCGGGTCCACAACTTATTACTGTTCAGAGGCTGCACTTTTTCAATATTTTTTAAATGAATGCCCTGGTCCTCCTCAGAAAAATTAGTAACAATGATCTTCCAATTTAAACGTGAAACTTTACATAGAGACAGCTCTTAACAGGAATAGTTACTTGTAAGTGTTTCAGCTCTCTTCATTGTTCACATTCTAAGCTACAGCAATGGTATAAACGCGTCTTTTGCAACGCTCATATACGTCAGCAAATTCAATGTTTTTATTTTAGAATAGAAGCAAATCAAATGACCTGAAACTACTCTCATCAAGACATATATCTATGCAAATTTTCAAATCGAAATTCGAAAATAAGTTTTTCCGGTATTCTTGACAGTGACGACGGTATCCATTTAAAAACTACTGTATCATTGTAGCAATAGCCTAAAAGTTCCAACTCTTTTCAGGATATTCGAAATTGATTTAGGTCTACATGATTCTCGTAGTTTCAAATCAAAAGCGATTAGTTAAACTTTATGTTAACATATTCTCAGTAAAATCGTGCCTGTTTTTTAAATGTCTATTCGAAAACTTGAAAGACAACACTCTAAAGAAGTTTTTATTCGTTTTTCCTCAAGTTTTGTTATTTTACTTCTTCTTTTAAGTACCAAATTCTATATCTCTAACATTAGATTTGGTAAGTATAGATCGATATGAATCGATAAAAAGTTTAGTGTACTAAAAATTGCACATGAAATTTAGAAGACTTAAAGATTTCTTTCTTTCTAAATAATTTACAACAATTCCAAGTAATATTTTTTCTAAAAAAAAATATTTATTTTTCTTGATGATAATGATAATGATGATGCAAATTATTAACGTGTATGAGAATAGAATAAAAAAAACATGACCAATAATTTTTAGTTATTCGATTTGATGATTTTCTTTTATCCTTTTTTTCTTTCTTTTTTTTTCTTTGTTTCTTCATAGAAAATAACAAAACACACTAGCCCGATATGTTCTCAAAACAATAATAATAACATAAAAATTAAAAGAATAACATATATATTCAACAATTTTTTGTTATCATTATATTGTGTTTGGGCTGTGAGATATTGATTTTAACGATTTGATTTAGCAACACGTTCAAGTTCGTCTTTACGTTTGATGGCAAATGACGTTGACGATCCCTAAAAAAAAAATACGAAATAAATATTTTTAGTTTGAAATTTATAAAAAATGCTTTGTTGAAGTCGACTATCAAATAATAATTCTAATAATTATCATTTGCGAATTAACAAAACTTCAAGAAACTTTAATTTTGCACACGCCGACGTTCAAAACCACATTAAATATATGATGGTATGACTTCTAATTGTGTGCTCTTTTCAAAAGCTACTATATATATATTCGAATACATACTTTAGCAGCGTTGATAAGTTCATCGGCAAGACATTCGGCAATTGTTTTGACCGATTTGAATGCAGAATCACGTGCACCTTAAAAATAAACAATTATTTTTTTTTTATATGCCTGTTTTTATGTCTTTGTACCTGTGCAAAGCAAATAAAGTGCTTGATTAACACGTCGTAATGGTGATACATCGACAGCTTGTCGTCGAACTGTACCAGCACGACCAATACGCGTTGAATCTTCACGTGGTCCACTATTAATAATAGCATTAACAAGTACTTGAAGTGGATTCTAAATGATAATTTTATTTAAAAGATATTTTCGTTTTATTTTTCTTATGTATTACTTCGCCTGTAAGTAAATGAATAATTTCAAATGTATGTCGTACAATACGAACAGCCATTAATTTTTTGCCATTATTACGTCCATGAAACATAAGTGAGCATACAAGACGTTCAACAATTGGACATGAAACTTTTCGAAAACGTTTTACTTGATAACGACCAGCTGAATGTGGAAGAAATTTCGGTTTTTTAGCACCAAGAATATAATCCTTGAAACGAAATTATAGACTTATTTGAAACTTAATTTAATTAAATTTTACTTCAAGTGACATATCCGAAATTTGTATTTCAGCACCACTCCATTTTCCGAATACTCGAATATCGGTTGCTGTTGTTTCTAAAGCTGTATCATCGGTTAACATTAAATCAGTCATGTTGGCAGATTTTGTTTTCTCTTTTCACGAGATTGAAGAAACGAACCTAAAACATTAAATTTCATGAAGAACTAGTTCTTTCGTAATAAAAATAAATAAATGTTGTTGGTTGTTTTCTTTTTTTGTTTTATTTAAATGTAAAATGGTCTCTTTCATAGCCATATTCAGTTACATGTTTAAAAGTCCTCACATTCATTCGTACGATTTTTTCGATTGGATGATTGGAATTTCTATAATGATTGGTTGATACGAACATATCCGAGGAATACTTTTGCTAATGAGTTTTGGATGATGGATGTCAGAATAGGACGAAGAAGAACAAAAAAAAAAAAGAAAGAATATGAAGCGAAGAGATTGTCAAAAGAAAAAAAAAGTTGTTCATGTTCTTACATTAATCTATCAATTATATAATTGATCTTGTCAGTTATTAAACTAAACAAAATAAAGATTTTTATTTTGATCTATTTGGATTTATGAATTAATTTTTTGTCTGGTTTTCAAAAATCGAAAATCGATAAATAAATGAACATAGTGGTTTGATGGATGGTATTTAGTCAGAACGTAGACATGATTTATTAAGTGACACCTCAATAAATACAGCTCTCTTCCATTTCCTTTTTTCTTATTTCTTCTTCACACATGGAAGTTATGTTCGAGCTTATGGTTTAATTGAATTAATAATGTCACTCTTCACATCATCATCGATTAATTTCTCTTGGGATCTGAGGTGGTGGAAAGAGAAGACTTTTATAAGCACGGATGTCAAGCATAGATGTAATATTCAGCAATTGCTTTTGCATGACACGCAATATAGTTTTATGGTTTGACTAGAGGTTAAAGCAAAGAGAAAAGAAGAGAGAAGAATAAGTAATTCTTGACGTTTGATGTAATCTTTATATATATAGCAAGTTGATCGATCGACTAATGCATGAAGACAAAGAGAGTCAACGGGACGAACGAATGGACTCGATCATCAATACAAAATTTCTTTTTTGTACATATATTTAAGTATAGAGAACAGAGAGAAGGTCATTGAAAATTCATTCCTCTTTGTCAGACGCATATTCGAAATGTTTGTTCACCAGAAACAATATCGTACATCTCGAGGTAATAAAATTCTCATTAGTTTTATCTTTTAATCATAGATTGTCTTCATTATTCTAGAATATATTGTTTTAATTCCATTACAAAAAACTTCAACAATTAATAAAGTTTCTATAGAAAGACGTAATATTGATGATACAACAGATAAAAATATTCTTTATATTGGTAATGGATCAAATGTTGATTTTATTATTTATAAAAATGCTCAATTAAGTAAATTTCGAAAGAAGCAAAAAATTTTTATTTTTCATTGAAAATAATTTTTATTTTGTAAATTAGTACAAGACGATAATGAATCTAATCAATTTTCTACTCAATTTAAAGTTTTTATGATTGATAAACAAACGAAAAAATTACATCAAGAAAATCGAACAATAAATTTTTGGTTTAATAACCATTTTGGACAAAATCAATATGCTGATGATACAAATGAATTTTTACGTATATTATTCAAATCTGATGAGTTTCCTCGAGGTTAGAAAAAAAAAATTTTTATGTTATGACACTTTCTTTCTGTAGATTATTTTTCATTTATTAAACGATTAATGGAATTATTAAGATTATTCTCAAGTATAAGAAAATTAGAACTTCAAATTCAAACATTAATTGATAACAATCATCCGAGTATGTTGAAATCGATATCGTATCTATTATAAAAAGTAGTATTATCAAACATATATAACTAATATAAACAATAGGATTATTAGATCGATATCTTGTTTTAAGAAAAAAAAAAAGATACTCGGATAAATGAAGATATTAAGTAGTTGTTGATTGCTTGTTTTTTCAATTTAGAGTATGAAAATAATCTTCAGCAAAATGCTGATTTAATTAAAGAGAAACTCTTAGATTTGCTTGAACAAGCATTTCCTAATCCAATGTTTGTTAATGATTTGGCAAAGTAAATGATAAACGATTTATATTTCGTCAACGAATGATCTTTTTTTTTTATCTAAAGATATCTCGAATATGATGATCAAATCGTATTTCAATACCTTAGTGAATTAGAAGATAAAAATCTTGTTAAACATCTTAATCATAATGGTCAACAATGGACACGTGTTATTATATCAGCTGAAGAAGAAGATACACATAGTTCGTTGAATAATAATCTTTGTATTTGAAATAAAATCTTTTGTTTGTGTTTTTTTCTCTTTTATTCAGAAGTTATTCTTTATAAATCGATTTCAGAATTATCGAATTCATTACGTCCAACAATCGCAATTATAACTGTAAATTATTTTGAAAAATTAGCAGTTGATGCTATGATTGAAAATAAAGTAACATTCGTACGACATAAAGCAGGTAAATAAAAATAATTAGTTTTTAAATTATTATTAAACACATTCTACAGGCGAATCAAATGTTTATACAATTGGCACAATTGGTACACATCATATTGTTTCAACAAAACTACCATTAATTGGTCGAAGCCGAACAGCACAAATATCAACTGGTAGTACAACTACTCGATTATTAGGTACTTTTCAATATGTACAACATGTTTTCATTATTGGCTGTGCTGGTGGAATTCCTCATTATATTGATGCAAGCAAACATATAAGACGTGGAGATATTATAGTTGGATATCCAAATGAAGAAGATTATGTTTATGGTAAATATTCTCTATTTACAATAGAAACACATATCAAAACCGTTCTATGTCGAGTGTATCAATTTATAAATGAGAATATTTCTGTATGCATTTAATAAGTGTTGAATCGATATTAGTACATCATCAATTTTTGTGAAGGTGTATATCAACATATAGATGTAAAGATGACATTTCCAATGTTGAATACATATGTCTTCTTTTCTCATCGAGATAAAAGTTCATTATTATCTATTGCATAGTGATTTGCTCGTTGTTCGACCTCTTTCTTGCATCTAAGATAAATAAGATTATTCCCTGAAGATATTATCTTTCTTTGCCTAAGCATATTCATTAATGTACATATGCGAGTGCGTATCATGTCTATAGTATAGTGATCAATCATTGATGAATGAGACACAATATAATTGGTTATACAGTTTGATAGATGAATTGACAAAATATAAAGGACAAACAAATGTTGTTTTATTTTTAATGTCAATAAAAGATTAAAGTTCAATGCTTCTTGATTCATTCAATAGTAAAAGTTATCGGTTTGTATTAAGATTAATATCTATCACGCCTTGTTTTCATTTGTTTCGTTTCTGTCACAAGGAGACTTCATTTATATTCATATAAAATCGCAATATCTGAAGTATAAAACAGACAGTAATCTCTAAGTAGGGATAGTTTTTTCTATCTTGGTAAACCATCTGCTATGGTATGCGCTACTTCTGTTTCATTAACAAAATGGATTTATGATCTTATTAGATAATTAATGTTATAGAATGTAACTGAAAAATAATTTCTTAACGAGATCCTTCCGTTTCCAAATGTTAAAATCGAATGTTTTTTGGTTTTCAGTGCTTCATCGCTAATTTAGCTTCGAAGTGTCTTCCATCAAATGCCATATAAATGAGGGCTCTTCGTTGTTAGTTAATACTTTTGTTAGACCTATTTCTTGAAATCTCTAGCAAATAAACTTGCGCTGCAATTACTCTTCGTATGCAAAATCCTCCTAATGATAATGATTATTTCTCATTCCAAAGGTGCGGCGAGCATGGCTCATGAACCACTAACACTGCCGAGCACAGCCAGTTTTCGATCACATTAGTTAGAGATAAAAAGTCCTAATACATACAGAAAAGTTATTATTGCATTTTTCTCAAAATGAACGCTTCAACAAATGAAAGAAGCCCCCCCCCCCCCCGCCATCCCATTTCTCTCCCGTACGCTACGTCCGATCGGATTTAAATATTTTTTATGGGTACTTGAAAAACAAAATGCATCCTGATTTCATCCTAGTTGTCATAAANTCGCTCAACTTAGTCAGAGACAAAAAGCCCTAAAACACACAGAAAAGTTATTATTGCATTTTTCTCAAAATGAACCCTTCAACAAATGAAAGAAGCCCCCCCCCCCCCCCCGCCATCCCATTTCTCTCCCGTACGCTACGTCCGATCGGATTTAAATATTTTTTATGGGTACTTGAAAAACAAAATGCATCCTGATTTCATCCTAGTTGTCATAAAAAATTGCAGCTCAAAGAAATGAAGTATAGAGTTTTGTGGGAACACAGAGAAACTTTTGATCATTTTTGACCTTTTCGACCCCATATCTTCGTGAAGGAAGTACCTGGCAATTATGAGTCTATGACGAGTTTTACTTAACTTATCGAGATCTATGTGCCTTGAAAATTTCATAATATTTTCGTCGAATCATTCGCGACAAACTTCGGGAAGGGAGTCCGCTTCATTACTCAATTCATGACTGTAAAAAAGTTTTATCAATGTATCCTAACGAAAATATGTTTAATGTATATAGTGATTTGAGTTGAAAAATAAATTCTTTTCATTTTTTTTTGTTTTCCGTAGGTATTTATGAAGCTGAAAAATCTGCCGAAGGTTATGAGTTTGTTTCTACGTGTTATAAACCAAAAAGTTTTCAACTCTATCAACTATTAGAACCTATAAAAGAAAATTATCAACAAACACATTTAAATCGATCATCAACACATAGATATCCATGGGAAAAATTTCTTGAAGACGGTATAAAATATCTACTTTCACATAATATTGATTGCTTACCACAATCGAATGATCGTCTTTGTATTAAAACGGAAAATAATGAAATAATTGAAATTGAACATCCAAATAACGAAAGAAAAGATTATTTACGACCAGCAATACGTTTTGGTATGATAGCAGGTGGAAAGAATATTTTAACAAATGATTATTTTAAAATAACATTATGTGATAAATGTAATGTTTTATGTTTTGATTCTGAAATCGATCAAGTTATTGCT